CGCGCCAGCCCCGCCGGCTCGGCCGGGCACGGGGGGCTGCGCGGCTCGGCGTCCCCCGGTGTCCCCGGCCCCTCGTGCCCGCCGGCGGCCGCCGCGCTGCCTTGGGGGCAGGGACAGCTCCGGGAGCCATTGGCGGTGTCCTGGGCCTGCAGCAGCTCCCGGCACTTCTCCCTGCGCGAGAGGGAGGGAGACGGGAGAGGGTAGGGGACGTGAAAGGGAGGGAGACGGGAAAGGGTAAGGAGACAGGAGAAGGTAGGGGGATGTGAAAGGGAGGGGGACGGGAGAGGCAGGGAGAGGGAGACGGAAGATGGACAGGAAGGGGACAGGAGAGGGATAGGGGCAGGGACAGGAGGGGGACGGGAGAGGAAGGGAGATAGGAGCGGGATGGGAGATGTGAGGGGGGTACCCGGCTGGCCCTCCTGCCCCATGGCTGCCTCCCCTGCCCTGTGGGGGTCCCCTCGCCCCATGGTGGTCCCCATGTCCTGTGGCAGTTTCCACCCCTGGGTCCCCAATGGCAGTCCCCCCGCCCCGTGCTGGTGCCCCTGCCCCACGGCGGCCCCCACGCACCGCATGGCACCGCGCAGGCCGTGCAGGTGGCAGAACAGGCGCTGCGCCTCCACGTCGGGCTCCAGCGGGTCGCTCCAGTCGCGCAGCGTGAGGCCGTGGCGCGCGGCGCCGCAGCCCAGCCCTGCGGAGCGAGCCGGCCGTGGCCGCCGCCGCCGCGCGCCGCCGTACCCGCCGTACCCGCCATACCCGCCCTGTCCCGCTGGTGACAGCAGCTCCACTTGTCCCCGCGGAAGACGCCGGGGTGGTAGGAGCCGAGCAGCTCGGGGTTGTTGGCGCAGGCCTTGCGCAGCGCCGAGAGCCACTGGTTGAGCTCGTTGACACACTGCGGGACAGGGCACGAGGGGACGGGGCAGTGAGGGGACACGGGCGCGCGCTGGCCCTGCGCCCCCACCCCGTGCCGCCCACCTTGCACTGCAGGTACGCGGTGTCCGGCCGCCCCGCCTCGTCCACGTAGACGATCTGCATGACGTGGGAGCTGCCGAAGCTCTTCTCCTCCACCTTCTCGGCCGCCCGGATGCGGGAGAGCGCGATGGAGCCGCTCTGCTGCTGCAGGATGGAGGAGAAAGTGGCGCTCGGCTCCGTGCTGCGGCCCCGGGGACTGAGCCATGGGGCACGGCCGCGTCTCCATCACCAGCCTCGGCCACCATGGGCTGCAGAGCCCCGTGTCCTGCAGCCCAAGCTGCTGGAGATGGCCCGGGGCTCCACCGGCACCTTTCCCCAAGCAACAGTGTCCCCCCCATGATGTCCCCCCGTACCTTGGAGCCGGGGGTCTTGGCAAAGCTGAGGGCCTCGCTGGTGAGGGAGAAGTGCAGCTTCTTGGAGGAGGAGGAGAGCAGCGGCCCCTTGGCCTTGGTCTTGTGCATGAAGAGCGGGCCCTCCCTGATGACCAGCGTTTGCAGGGCGAGGGCGCCGGGCTCCTCCACATCTAGCAGGGACGGCCCTGTCGGGAGGGGGGTCCTGCAGGGCACCCCCTTGCCCACAGACCCCCCTCACCTTGCTCCTCCTCCAGGCCCACCAGCTCGGCGATGAAGGCCTTCATGCGGGCGACGCCGCGCTGCAGCGCGGGCTGCAGCGGCGCCAGCCAGGCCTCCTTGGCCCGCCCCGCCGCCGCCTCCATGTTGCCCACGATCTGCACGGCCTGGAGCCGCGGGGAACGGCGGGCTCGGCGCCGCGGGCTCGGCCAGCGCCCTGGCACCAGGACCCCCGCCACGGGCCCCTCGTCCCCCAGCAGCGTCCCCCCCGTCCCACCTTGGCCAGCAGCAGCAGCGTGCGGCTGGTGCGCGCGTCCGCGTGCTTCTCCCGCAGGTGGAAGAGCTTGGGCGTCATGATGGCCGGCGAGAAGAAGCGGAGGCAGAGGAAGCTGGTGACCGCGATGAACTTGACGTTCTGCAGGGCACGGGACACACGGGAGGGCACAAGACACACACGGGACGGGCGACACGGTGTGAGTCACTGACACACGTGGGGACGTCCTCCCCCAGGCACAGGGCACGTGGGTTTATTCCCTGGGCTCCTTCCCTCATGCCCTGGGGAGGCCATGGCAGCTGGATCCATGGAATGAGAGGCAATCCCAAACTTATTTATGTGGGATGCAGCTGTGACAAGGGTGGGAGAGGAATCGTGGTGACAAGGGCCAGAAGAGCCTTGTAAAGCCATGACCCAAGCCATGGGGCGATGTCTGCAATCCCCGACCCCTGCCGGTCTCCAGGAAAAGTTCCCCAATTTCCAAACAAATTGGAAACTGTTTGTCACAAAACAAATTGGAAATTGTTTTTCACTCTCGAGCCTGCGTGACGAGGCCTCGTGGTGGCTGCAGCTCCGCGCTGCCCCTGCCGTCCCCAGGCTCCGTCCCGGCACACGCACCGTCCCCCTGCCGAGGCGGGACGCCCGCGGTGCCGGGAAGCGGCTGCCACCCGCTACCCCCCTTCCCCGCACTGCCCACGCACCGACCTGGTGCTGCTGCTCGGGGAAGCGCTGCCCCACGCGCCGGAAGAGCTGTCGGAAGGCGCCGCGGACGACGGCGGGGCAGCCTGGCGCCGACCTGCCCATGGCGGCCAGCAGCTCGCCCAGGTAGGACTGCAGGTGCTGGCAGCTCTGCTCGATCACCTCGCCCTCCGTCTGCACGCGGTGCAGCCCCGAGCAGCTGCCGGCAGGGCCCGCGTCAGCCCCGCATCCCGCCGGCCGCATCCCGCTATCCGCATCTCACTATCCGCATCCCACCAGTCACATCCCACCAGCCGCATCCCCCTATTTGCATCCCGCCAGCCGCATCCTGCCGGTTGCATCCCGCTATCCACCTCCCACTGGCCGCATCCTACTGGCTGCATCCTGCTATCTGCATCCCACCAGCCACATCCCGCTATCCGCATCCCACCGGCCGCATCCCGCTATCCGTATCCCCCTATCCGCATCCCACTATCTGCACTCCCCGGCTGCATCCCGCTATCCGCATCCAGCCGGCTGCATCCTGCTATCCGCATCCTGCTGGTCACATCCCACTATCCGCATCCCAATGGCTGCATCCTGCTATCCACATCCCGCCGGCTGCATCCCGCTATCCGCATCCCACCGGCCGCATCCCGCTATCCGCATCCCGCCCTTACCCGACGTCCTTGATCTCCACCTTGCTGGGGTCCAGCTCCACGTACTTCTTCTCCTCAAACACGCGGTTGATGGTGGGCGCGAGGACGGCGTGCAGGTACTGCATCCCAGCCAC